TAGTTTGTAAATTATTTAAATTTTAAAAAATCCACATAATCATCTTTTACATGATGAATTTTCCACCTAATATTGAAAATGTAAAATAGTCAATCACTTAGCAAAAAAATTAGCTACATCAACATTTAATTGACGGAAAGACGAAATTGAAGATTGAAGTTAAAGGACGTTTTTGGTACTTTCTAAAGTTTAAGGATGAATTGATTCAAAAATAAAAGTTGAAGGACCAATTCAAATATTTAACCTAAAAAAATATGTTTGCCACGTCAGCATCACTATTCAATTAATCCTTAAATAGAAAAAGTTAAAAGTTGACATCCTTAAATAAAAAATGTTGAAAGTTGACATCCTTATTTAAAAACTAACAAAGTTAACATCCTTATTTAGAAAAAAATTGAAAGTTAACATCCTTATTTAAAAAAAAATTAAAAGTTGACATCCTTATTTAGAAAAAAATTAAAAGTTGACATCCTTATTTAGAAACTCACAAAGTTAACATCCTTAAATAGAAAAAAGTGCAAAGTTGGAATCCTTATTTGCACCTTTACTCTGTGTGGCTGGGAAGGAAAGAAAGAAAAATATCAACCTTTTATCCTAATTTTCCTCTTTTAAGCCCCTTGAGTGTTGAGATTTTAACTATTAGGCTCCAAAATAATATTTTCTCACAATTAAGTCCTTAACTAAATGCTAAAATATCACAAAATTCTGGGGTATTACACAACTCATGGTGAATTAAGAAATTCTCTTACACTACTAAACTAATTTATGCCTATTAACTTACAAAGCAACCAATAATAAAACCAATGAGGGAAACATGTAAAACCAAGAATGCAGTACCAATTACATACTTAAAGCAATATTTATTTACTATCTCCTATCCAAACCAAATTGAAAGCATTCTCCTGTCCACTTTCGCACTTAAATCCAACACTTTTTTTCAAGATTTCAGTCAATGGAGCTGCAATTGTGCTGAAGTCCTTGATGAATCTCCAGTAGAAACTCGCCAAACCATGAAAACTCCACACCTCAGAAATATTCTTAGGTGTTGGCCATTCTTTAGCCTTAATCTTTTCTTCGTCTACTGCAATTCCATCAGCAGAAACAACATACCCTAAAAAGACAATCTGATTTGTGCAAAAGGAACACTTTTTAATGTTAGCAAACAAGTTTTCTTTTCTCAAAACCTCTAATACCATTCGCAGATGCTCAATATGATCAGTTAAACTCTTACTATATATCAGAATGTCATCAAAATAAACAACCATAAATTTGACAATGAAAGCACGCAAAATATGATTCATTAATCGCATGAATGTACTGGGTGCATTAGTTAATCCAAATGGCATAACTAACCACTCATATAAACCATGTTTCATTTTAAAGGCTGTTTTCCATTCATCACCTTCCTTCATCCTAATCTGATG